TTAGATATTCACTTGGGCCCAGTTACAAGCACAGTGGGATTTACTGCCAAGTCCAACCAGGGATCCTGGAGGCCCCGGCGGTTTATGGGAGTGAGGAACAATTTTATTTACAACAGAATTTAAATTCCACACTATCCCAGTTTCTATTTCTAACATTGCTTTCTTTCTGTCACTCCCAGCACAAGTAAATTCATATTTGAAAAATATTTTCCAGCTTCTCCTTTTCCTTGGACTGCAGAGTCTTTCCTTTAACTGCTCAGGTTATGCTGCCTCCATCACAGCCAAACTCTGCTTGACAACACTCCTGCTGCTTACTCACAGCCTTAAGTATTCCTGCCCAGTCCACAGGTACCTTTAAATTTCAAAGCCCAGAAGATGAAAGGATTGAATCTTTCCTGCTTCCAAATCTGTATTTACTGACTTGACTGTTTGAAGTCTGGAGACTGCAAAATTACTGGCTGCTCCCCGGGAAGGAAATCGAGATGTGGAGAGGGGAAAAGGTGAGTTTCTTCAGACAAACCACTTCTTACAGTTGCCTCCTCTCAGAGCTGAATACTTGGCTTTGGAAAAGCTTTTTTAATCCCACACTTGGGAATTGGTTCTCTTCTGGAAATATGTTGCTATTTATTTCCATTGCCTTCAGCTGCCTCTTCCCTCCCTCTCTCTCTCTCATTCTCTCCCTGCCTCCCCTTCTCTTGTTGCTGCAAAAGAGACTTAGGCAAGTCAGAAGAAAATGACATTTAGACCACCCAAACACAGTAACTGAGGGAGATAGAGGAAATTCAACAGCACCAGAGCACTCATTTGTGCATCCAGACCCTAAAAACCTGGTCCTCCTGGGTCATTTTTACTAGACTTGACACGTGCCAAGTAACCTGCCAAGGTCTCCCAACATTTCTTCAGTGCACAAACCACCATTGGCCTGTTATTATCTTTCAGGAAACAGCTGAAAGCCTTGTTCATAGCAACAGTATCAACTTTCCCTTGATAAATGTCTGGCTCAGCTCCCAACCTTCACAGGTTTCTCAGCCTGCCCTGATTATTCATTCCTGCAAGGCTCAGCACTGCCGGTCCATTAGCACTATCACTACCACAGGCACAGGAATTCAGGCAGGTCCATCTCTTTCCCATCCTCTGCTGCACTGACCTCACTCTTACGCTGTTTTTGAAGGACTCAATTAATGACAAATGGTTTATTGACTGCAGAGGTCCTTTCCTCCTGCCAGATAATTACACAGAGTCACTTGGATGCAGCCTTGCCTGGTGCATTTCAAAACAGACTCAGCCACTTTGCAAGAATTTAAGCGATGGATTTTTTTCCTTCCCCCTCCCCGTCTCTAGAACTGTAAAATAATGCAATGAAGAGAAATAGCAAAAGTTGTATCTGAGATAACACAACTTTCTAGACTGAGTTACCCCTAAACTCAGCTCTGCCTTCCTCCCAAGCAATGAAGCTGTGATGACCTGCTTAATCTAAACCATAAGAGCTCACATCAAATCATGATATGACATCATGGTGTGAGCACGCCTGGGACAGCAGTGTGAGCCACCTGTGACAGATGCCAGCCTGCTGAGGGCTGCTGACATTACTGGGATACCACATTAGACATAGTTAGCCTAATAAAAATATGAAAACACATAAAAACTGCTCAAAACCAGGCAGAGCACAGTTAGAAACCGAGAGCAACCACAAGGAACTTTCTTCTTCTTACTCTGGTTAAAGCTGAAAGGACAAATCCAGGTTAGTTTATATTTTACAGTGTGAAGAGCACAACATGGAGAGAAGGGCACACTGTCCTAAAACGCCTGCCAACACTTGTGGGAAAAGTGGGGAAGGGAAGAAAGTCTAGTTTCAGTTCTGTGTTGAATATTCTGAGTCTTCTTCCCTTGGTCAGCAGGAGGGATTTGAAGGCACCAAAAAACTTATTTGCAGAAGAAAAAGAAAACATCCTCCCAGCACACTGAACCTCATCACACAGAATACCGAGGTCTCGTGGCACTGACCTCGCTCCCGGGTGTGGGATGCTCTTACACAGCCATGATTTCTGCTCAGAGGACCTTCACCTTCTTTCTGTGCCTTGGTACTTTCGGGGAAGGTTTCTTTTGTGAAAGCCCTGCCCAGGCTGGTGCAGAACAGGCTCCCTGGTGCTGCAGTCACAGCAGGACGGGAACCGCCGGTTATGCCGCCCGTGGCCACAGCACAGCAGGACATTGCTGGGAAGGGCTCCCTGCCCCAGACAGGGACACAGCACTAATGAAAGAGGTCGATGGGCCACCACACTCTGTCACCCTGCTTGTCACCTGCCTCACCTGGCCTTAACACAGGCAGGGTGTGTTTCACCCCACTCCCATCCCGTGCGCTCCCCTCACTAATTCAACCAAAGCATTTCCTGGCTAAAAGCCACAGCTGGGCTTTCCCTGCTCCCTTTGCTGCCCCTGGGGTTTCTCCAGCTGCAGCCTGGTTTGTCTTTTCTGCATATCTGGGTGGCAGAGAGAACTGAGGGCTGATCCTGTACCCCAAAGAGCAGCACCTTGTGCAGGACACCTGCTCTGCATCCATCCTCTCTGCAGGGTGTAGGGACGAGGACAAAGTAAGCTCTGAGGCTTGTGGAATTTTTCTTAAGTTTTGAAGATTCACAATCCCCATTTTGCATAGGAAAACATCCCTTTTGTGGACACAGATCCAGAACAACCTGCTCCTGCCTCTCTCTCATCCTCTTAAATGCGGCTGTTGTTTGAACAGATGCCCTGGAAAACACGGAAGGACAAAAACAGCACTGGGAGTGGACTGTAGCAGATTAAAATTGAAAAAGACAAAAAGTTTTACTGTATTTTATGCAATATACAAAATATTGCACTTGACCAGCTACTGAAGCTGTGTGAAACTTAAAAAACAACAACAAAAAGTGCTTTACAAACACTTCCTCTACATCCCTATCCCATCATTTCCCTGGGCCATTGCACTGTATTGCCTGAATTATTCATTTGGGTATGTTGCTATGAAAAAAATTACTGAAGATAACTCAATCCCTGGGTAGAAAAAGTACTCCTGAAAATGAACTGAAAGTAAAATTAATAATTAACAACTCTTAAGGAGCCAAATATTAGGCAATGGCTTTTCAAAACAGCAGTTCAAGCGCTTTATAGCCTTCTCTCCATTCCCGTTTATTTTAGGTTCTTTACATATGAAAAAAGCTTTGCTGGCAGCAACTGTTTGCTGTGGCCTAGGGATAAACATGTGGCACTGGTTGGCTTCTCCAGCACTTTCCTTTTGTCCTTGGTGATACGGAAAACAAGCATCGCTCCAACCAGAGGTGCAACAGGGCAAAATGATTGTCTGGCCACACTCATGATGGATCTGTGACAGCAGAGCTTTCCCAGACAAGGTCCCTATGCAGCCTGTGCATTTTCTGCACAACCCTCCAGAGGCACTTACTGATCTCAGCTCAAACACAGCCCCAGTTCTGCAAACCTTCAGCAGAAAACAGTATTGGTTTCATGAATCGAGAATAAAAACCACAAGGCATTATCTTATATTGGAGGTCAGGAAACTGGGGCGTGAAAGCTTTAATTGTCTCCAATGTCAGCAAACGCCAGCGATGACATCTCATGGAGCACAGCACAGCCTTGATACTGAAGGGAAAGGCAGGGGCACAAAACCTCGATTGTATCGATACCAAAGGTTCAAGTTTGATTTGTAACACAGGATCAGGATTTTGCCTAACCTGAACTTATACCTCACAAGATTCTTTTGCTGGAGAGGTAACGACTAAACGTAGCAAAAGATGTGTTTTTTAAAGAAAGAAGTGCAGAAATGCACAACCTCTACGAAAAGAATGAATCCTCACTCAAACAGCACTGACTTCCTAAAAGATGACTTCAGAAATAAAGACTTAATTCATGCTAATTTTTAATATTACCCCCTAAAGGTGGCTTGGAAGGGATACACAGCCTTGGCTTACGAGGTTTAATCCAGCCTGTATTAGGGGCTGCATCTTGTGACGATCATCCCCTGTTTATCCCAGCACGGTTTTGCCTCGCTGTGTGTCACATCCCGCACTCACCATTCCTGCAAGACCGAACACTTCACTGGGCTGCTCAGTCCAGCCCCTCCAGCTGCTGAGCCGCAGTTTCGTAACCTAGAAATGTCTTTTTGTACGGTTTACAAATATTTCGCGTCCGTCCTGCAGCTGAGTGCTCACGTTACATCCGATTTGACTACTCTGACAACTAAGAATGCCGAAGGAAAAACACCACTAGTTACGTTGTCACTTATCGCAGACACCTCCATCCTCAAAAAACCCAAACAAACCCAAACAACAACAAAAAAACCCAGAGTCAGCTCGTCACGTTGTTACAGGTCCCCCCTTTCCAGCAAGTCTATTACTAATAATCAGAGCGCATCTGCTAAGCCGGGCCAAGGCAGGCAGCTGCCTGCTCTGCCCACCCATTTGCTCCATCACATCCGAACGGCTCCTGCATTCCTGGCTTTATTCCCCGCGGCATTTCCCTGTGACAGAGCGCTGGATGGGAGCGCGCCCGAGTTATTTCTCCAAACTTTGCTGGAGCCGCACGGCCGGGCTCGGGTCTGCACCCCTGCCCATTTCGGGGGGTTTGCAGCCGTTTCTCCCGGCTTCGAGCCCGGAGCCATCGCTCCTGGGAGGGGTGGAGGGAGACGTTTAAGTCTGGTACGGGATTCTTTCCCCCTCGGTTCTTGGCAGCCGCGCACAAACACCGCATTCTTGCTCTAGTTTCTCGCTGAGCTGGAGCGCCGGACTTGAGCCGAGGCCAACCCTTGTCTCCGGCCCCTCTCCGCGCTCCCTGCCCGGGACGGCGCGGTCCCTCCTCCCGGCGAGGCGGCGGCAGCACCGCCCGGGGACGAGGGATGAAGATGATGGGGCTGAACCTCAGCACCTGGCCGCCCCCCCCGGGGACACCCCCTCCCGCCCCGAACCTCATCGCCCGCGTCTCCAGAAGACAGCCCTCGCCCCTTCCTTTACCCCGCCCGCAGGCTCCCGCGCTGATGGCGATGATGGGCGGCTGTCCCTGGCCTCGGTGCGGACGAGATGGCGGCCCGCAAGCTGGCAGGGGCTGGCGTAGGTCACGCATCGCTGCCGCACCACGGGGCTCGCTTGTGGAGCACTGCAGCGCCCGGCGGCCGCCCGCTTGCGGACCGTGCCCGAGGCGGGATGCCGGCGCCGGGGGCCACACGCACTGCAGCCCCTCTCCGCAGGGCGGGCCGCGCTTGCCCAGCCGCCCCCGCACGGCTCTTCCCTCCTCCGCCCCGCACACGCGCAGCAGCCGCAGGATCCTAGCACGGGCCCGCCGGGGCACGCGACGCGGGCAGCGCGGGCACCGCGACCGATCGCAGCGCTCGAGGCAGGCGGGGTGGGGCGGCGAGGGCGCGGGGAGCGCCAGCAGCAGCAGCAGGATCCAGCCCGCAGCGGGGCATCGCGGCGGGCGGGACGAGGGCAGGGGGCCGAGTGGCGGCGAGCGCGGTTGAGCGGGCGGGGGCGGCAGCGGCTTTAAAGCGGCGGCGGGGCGGGGCGGAGCGGGGCTCCAGGGACCGGCCCCCCGGGCCAGGCGACACCACCAGCACGGCCCCCCCCGGACCGCAAACACACCCCCGCCCGGCCGCTCTGGCCTCTCGGGTCAAACTTTCGGGGTCCGCCCCAGCTGCACCGAGCGCTTCGACTCGGCGGTGAAAGCGCCGAAATCGGTGATTAAGATCGGTGGAAAGGGTGATAACACTCTCCTGCAAAAAAGAGAGGGGTGTTGAACTCTCTTTCCCGCCTCGGGAGTTACGGGAAAGCAATCCAGAGCGAGCGCCGATAACGATTCTGTCTGATAAGGGGAGGGGTGGGAGCGCAGAGCCGCCAGCCCGTCCCCTGGGAGAAAGAGCGAGATGATAACGCGTATTATATGGAAATGTATGTAAATACCAGGCACCCCCACGGGGAACGGCCGATATTCCCGCACAAGGCGACCCCTGAAATTCCTGGCTCGGGAAGGACGCGGGAGGCGACGGTCGGTACCCGAGGGCAGCGGGGATGGGAGGAAGGATGCTCCCGAGCCGCTTCTGCTCTCCCCGTCGCCTCACCCGAGATTCGCAGAGCCGCAGGGCGAGGTGGATACCAGCAATTAGCAGAAGGTTAATCAACCGAAAGGAAAAAAAAAAAGAAGTCGTCCTCTACCATCCCACAAGCAGGCTGATCCAATTTATCCGGCAGCTGGGCAGCCGCCAGAACCTATGGACAGAGGGCTCTCTGCCATATGCTCTTGGAGCACGGACAAGGTGCTCTGAGAGGCGGTTTAAATACACACAAGTGCCTTCCGAGGGACGAGGCATCAAGGCCAAAGCGGGGAGGGAACGGTTTAACAGAGCTGGAAATCGAGCAAAGCCAATTTTATTTTTTTTTTTAATTACAAGCCGATTAAACTTTTGAACTGACTACCACTCTATAATTATTTAAGTGCACCTTTATCAGGCGCCGATAACCACGCACCTAATGAACTTAACAGCATTTCATCTTGCCTAATGGGTTGTAAACTGTTAGATGTGCTGTGACCAAGGAACTGAGGATGTCAGCAACTACATTAGCACAGAATAATTCAGTCTTTTCTCCCAGGAAAAGTTTAACAACGAGTGACTTGAGCAAGTAGAAGCAGCATCCCGGGTGTCTGAATCCAAACCTAATTGTTCCAGGGAACATTATAAAAACTTATCCAACTGTGACCACAAGTGTGCAAAACTCACTTAACTGAGTACCTTAAGGTGGGAAAACACATGTAATGTCCTCAATTAAAGCTCCAATACCAGCCCCTTTACATCTGTTGTTTTCCAGTAGCTTCTATGCTGTGCAAGAAAAGAGATTTCGGAATTGCCTGATTGAACAAGGGACCAATCAGGCAATTGACAGCAAAACTGCATTAGTGTTAAAATCATTACACTGTTAACAAGTCCGAGAAAAAGTCTGAAAACGTTTAGATGTTTAAATATTTTCAATGTACATGTGTATATATAAGTATATATATATATACATGGATAGATAAAATGGAAAAATGTTTCCAAATTTATCCATTTATCCAAGCCTGGGTTTGTTGGGGGGTTTTTTGTTTGGTTTTTACCCCTTTTAAATAAAGACAATTCTTTAAGGAAAGATTAACAGCTTCTAGTAAAAAAAAAGAAAAAAACAGGTTCAGAAAGGATCTTATAAGCTCCTATTTGGAAGCAGGACCAAAATATTCAGTGAACTATAACGGGGTTTTTCACCCTTCCCCACCCAGAGAGGCTTTGCCATGGTCAGATAACTTACTGCTTGAAGGCACTGGAGCCTTATCTCCATAGGCAGGAAAAGATGACACACAGTGGGAAAGCTCCAGGTTCTGTCAACGTTTTTTCTTAAATAAATAACACAGAAAAGGGATGCACATTTGTTAATAAACACTACAAAGGAAATATATCCCAAGGTCTTAGTGAAAACCATTGATTAGTTCACTTCCAAACAAGTGGACTAGTATTAAGGAACTTCTCCTGTTATGTTTTTCTGTTTCTCAAACCAAGTAAGAATGTCAATCTTCTTTCCAGCATTAAAAATCTAATATTTTATAATATTAGTTTTATAGTTTTCACTGAAAATTAACATCTTCCCAGAATAACTGAGGTAAATCTCTGTAGAGGTTAATAAATTAGCTTACTGAAAAGTGTATGTTTTTGTTATCCATCTAATCTGTACAGAAGCCCAAGAGGCTTTATAAACCCAGAAATTATCATTTCTCCCCCATCATAACATTTTCACACAGAAGGGCTCTCGAAGCCAGCAGACATTTACCACTACTCAAAGAGGCCAAAAGTGGTCTGAAAAACACTTTCACTTGAGGGACTTGGCAGCAAAATATTTCATCTCCCACTTTTCACACGGAACTGGATGACAGGAGGCTCCACCTAGAGATCACACACTAGAAATTCTCCTGGAGGTACAAAAGTTTCGACGCTGCTGTCAGGGATCCAGGGATGCTGTGACATCCAGCTCAGCCCTGCAAGGTGAGTCTGCACATCTGGGCACACATGGAAAGGGTGGGAAGCAAGTAAAAGATAAATAAAGAGGAGAGTTGGCTGGGGAGAAAGGGGTTAAGGTGACAGTCTGGGTCTAGAAGGGTTCTGGCCAGAAATGAGGCTGGTGGAGGTTTGAGAAGGCCAGAATGCCTCCAGTCTGAGCAAATTCCAAAAGCCTGGACTTTGCAGAGCTTTTATAGGTTTATTATGTCTGCGTTACCATTTTGCTTCATTCCTTAATGGCTTTCTCCCAGATTTCCTGGGGGAAAAATGTAACATCCCTACTCCCACCTCCCAAAAACCCAGGACTTCTCTACTTAGTTAAACGTAGTAAGAGAAGTCTTAAAGATTTACTCAAAAAAACCCTTTTTAAGAACATATGCTGGATTCATTGCTACATACAGAAAAAATGCTGTTGCTTTGAAAGGGAATGGCTGCAAACCAGGGATTTTAAAGCTCCATGTTCTTTTCCAGATGTGATCTAGCCCTGGTGCTTGACAAGCATTGCTGTTGGCATAATTTACAAAATGAATGAACGATCAGGTTGTCTTTTGAAATGCCTCACCTGAAACCAGGTCACCTGCCCCAAGAAACACTTGCTAATCTGAACAAACCCTGTGTTTGTGTTCAGATGGCGTTTTCTTGCTGTCAGAGGGCAAACCCACAAGCAGGAGTGCAAATATCACACTACAGACTGTAAAACAAGCGTTCAAACTTCGTAATTTACAGAAAACAAACTCGCTGCTATGAAAACTTGCAGCAGACACCCACCTGTTGAGAACAGACTGACTCAGGTGTGTGCCCGGGGTATCCTTAGGAGACTGGAGGTGATGGGAATGCAGTGCAACAGAGTGGTTTAAATTCTTAACAGATGTGTTCACTGCGCACATTGATATGCAAAATTAAACTCGTTTTAAATGCAAATCCATAATTACAGTGTGAAAAGTACCACTTTGAAGAGCAGGATTCGACTTCTCCTACATCATTAGGTAGTGCCTTTACAAATGAGTACCAGTTTTTTTTCCTCTGAGGTTGCACAGAAAATCTGACCTGTCCAATCTGACCAGGCAGACAGTGTGTGGGACACGATTCACTTACAGAGCAGGACTCAGGTTTAACTCTTCCAGAGAGCTGCCTTCAGTATTTCACTGGAAGATCTCAGAAGTACTTCAGCAGCTTACTGGCTTGGAGCATCCAATAGTTAAATAGGCAGTTCTCCAAAATACAGATGAATATTAAGACATTAAATGAAGCTGATAAAAGGTAAAACTATATGTAGCACAGAGGGCTTCAGTTTTTTAATTTGAGCTTTTAGACTAAATTTCCCTATGCAAATTTCCCCTTCTTTAATTTTTTCCTTCTCTCCCACCTCTATTTAACAGGGAACTGTTAAAAGAACAGTGATGTTTCTATCCCATACCTTCAGAGTGCATATTTTAGGAGTGCTCAATAATTTTTTCCATCCGCTATAAAACAGACTTACTATGAATAAAAAATTTGCTTCTGAATATCAGTATTTTCTACCAATACAGCCATTTTTATGACAGGAGATACTCTCTGAGATACACCTTCCACCAGCCCAGGTTGCTCCAAGCCCTGTCCAACCTGGCCTTGGACACTTCCAGGGATGGGGCAGCCACAGCTTCTCTGGGCAACCTGTGCCAGGGCCTCTCCACCCTCACAGGGAAGAATTTCTTCTTTATGTCTAATCTTCTGTCTTCAGTCAATTTGTTGCTATTGCTGTTCAAAGCTTACAAGGAGCAAGAATTAGAAAAAACACAAATGAGACACCTAAACAACAAATGTGGAGCAGTCCAGTGACTCAACAACTGGAGTTCCAAGATCAATCTCTATATATGAAATATACTTTAAAAGCAAATGCCTGACTTGGATAATTTTTAAAGCTGGAGCATGACCCCTAGGTGGTGCTGACACCCTGTTATTCCATGAGGTTAAGGCATATGCCACTTTACTATATATCTTGGACCATTACACCCCTTGGCAGCCACCTTCAGGAACGTGGACTGCAGAGTTAGCAGTTACAATTTCTGTAAGTGCCTTATTTTAACACAGTGGGTTTAAATCACACAGAATGATTTGATTCCCTCTTCAGCAAAGGGGCACAGAGTTCACAGTCAGATGTGGCAGTCAAAGAGGAATGTAGATAACTGTGCACAGCCTATATTCCAGGAAAGCATTTCTCAGAGAGAACCTTTCTCATGCAATAGTATAAAGCCAGAAAAATGCACGTTACATTTGGTTCCCCTGAGGGGAGGGGGGTTGTTTCCCCTTTCAGATGGAGCCTGAGTGTTTCCAAATATTAACTTGACATTACTGTGCATCTCCCCTTCCTTTGATGCAAAAGTAACCTGAACGATACCTTCTGCATAACACATAAAACTTCCACAAAAGAAACAGAACAGCAAAAGAAAACCAGCTCATTCTGTTCACCTTCTTTCTCAGGCTACACAACCCGATCAGATTTGAAGGATTAAAAAGATGTTGCAGCTGGATAAAAGATAATCTGATCTCTTACATGCTGAAAAGGAATATATTATTCTGGTAAAACATTTAACGTGGTGCAAAGAAACTCAGCCAGATGTTATTTTAAGTTACCCAAACTGATTTATTGACAATTTAAATGTGACATATTTACAGCACTGTTTCTAAAATAATTTAACAATTTCATAGATTTATAAAAGTACTGATAAATAGGAGACCCTGACAATTACCAACCACAAATATTTTGCTATGCTATCGAACTACATCAGTAGTTCTTTTCTTTTCCTCTTTTTTTCTTTTTCCCTCTTTTTAAAAGTCCCATAATGGAGCTGCTTTACCTCCACCCAATGTTTAAAATTGCCAATACCAAAATATATTAAAATGACCATGCAGTGTGAAAGCTGTACCAGAGCAAGTGAATTCAGATGTTAGACTACAGTAAAAATATTTCAATGCAAAGTGTCTTCCACACAGAATGTACTTGTGAAAAAATAAGCTTTTAAAGAGCTATTGTTTTATCTTTATAGAAATTAAAACCTACAATACTAGTACAGACATTTACAGTAACTTCCAATTCTGTGCTAGTTTTCACATATATCTAAAGAGTCAAACAAAACCAGTAATTTACAGATACCACTGCCTTAAAACAGTGGTTAGTTAGCTTATGGATAAAACAAAAAACAAAAAGAAGGTGCTGATATAATTTAAGGTTTTGAAATTAACTATATTCCATCCTTATATGACATCAATTATTCTATCCTGGGATCAACAAATTGCTGTGGTAATGCCAT